AGAAAGGGTTGCTCCGTTATACTCGCCGGGCGAAACCTTTTTGGTTTTAGAAAGGTTTAGCGAGCGTTGGGCCGCCGTGCCATGAATACAGTGAACTAGTATATACCATGAAGTCGAGGTGGTTAAAGGTGGGAAGTAGACACGAAGCGCAAGCCGTAAGGAAGTGTGCGTGTGCCCCTTCTCGTTAAGTCCTTGGAATGTCCGATGGATGGCGGTGCTTCTATATGGAGAATATATGATGAAAAGATGCGAGATCGTGGCACTTGGAGCGTTGAATAGATGGACTAACAGACACACAGACAGATGCGTGGACGGAGTCACGGATGGCTGCACCGATGGATGAATGCATGGACGGACGCAGGGACGGACGCGCAGTTGAACATGTGGACGCATGAATAGACGCCCGAACAGACTCACGCACGGACGGGCGAATGGACGCACGGACTATCACACAGACGGACGCATGGCCGGATGGAAGCAAGAACGAATAAACGGACGGATGCTTCGCCCCACTCTCCATCATTCACTCCGTGGATATGTTGTCATTTCTTTTTTCTCATCCATTGACATCGCGTAATTTAAAATTTTGCATCTGTGAAGCAGGTGAAACATCCGCGAGCGCATCATAAGTGTGGCATGTAGTCATGTTACATGACACGCATGTCATGACTGTCATGTTTGGATGTGTCATTTAACTATGTCGTCCGTTCGCGTCACGTAATAGAAAGTCTAGTAGCTGTCTGGTAGCAAAACGGCCACGAGTGCATCATGAGTGTATGAAGTAGTCATGTTGTTACATGACACGCATGTTATGTTTTTATCATGTTTGCACCAGTATCATACCTTCGTCATCAATTCAAGTCTTGTAATACCAAATTTGGTAAAAATGAAGCTAGCGAAATAGCCGCCAGCGTATCATGAGCGTGGCATGTAGTCATGTTGTTACGTGACACGCATCTCATGATTATCATGTTTGCACCTTCGGCATGCATTCATGTACCGTAATACCAAATTCGGTATATGTGACGCTAGCGAAACGGCCGTGAGCGCATCATGAGCGTGGCATGTAGTGATGTTGTTACATGACACGCATGTCATGACTTTCATGTTAGGGCCTGTCGCTTGCGTTCGCCATGATATCATGTCATAACATACCTGTTTTGCAAGATGTGCGAACGAGACAACCGTTAAAGCAGCAAGATCATGAAATGTAAATCATGACATTCATGATATAAATATCATGATTTTCTTGTTATGACTAGTCAAATATTCTCGTCATACAGTAATGTCATGCCACACTAAGATTGGTATCGATACAATCATACGAACGGCCAGGAGAGCCAAAAGTTGTAGGTGGATAGATAGATAGATAGATAGATAGATAGATAGATAGATAGATAGATAGATAGATAGATAGATAGATAGATAGATAGATAGATAGATAAATAGATAGATAGATAGATAGATAGATAGATAGATAGATAGATAGATAGATAGATAGATAGATAGATAGATAGATAGATAGATAGATAGATAGATAGATAGATAGATAGATACGCTTAAAGTCACCGAAGTTCTCAAAGAAATGCTTCGCATAAAAATGAGCGATAAACAGTTCTTGGTATATAGTACCAGAAATCCAATGCAACCTTTACATCTTTGGTGAAAGTCCAAACGACTGACTGAAGGTATACACAATTTTACGGAGGTTCTTCATTGCTCCCCTGCTGGGCTTTTAACCTTTGTGTTTTGGATCTTAAAATTAAGGAACAGCGTTATGGTACACGTATACGCATGAAAATGGTTTGATTGATGCATACCACGTGTCATGGCCTTTCACGTCACAATATACAAAAACAAAGAAACGTCCCATTACCAGCCCAAGATGGTGGCACACATTTGTCTAAGGTAAAATTGTCTACAGAACAGATAGAACCCCATTAGGTTGGGGGGGGGGGGCGTAGAGCTCTTTCGGAGTATTGCCTTGTTCAAAAGCGGGTTTCACCAGAGCTCGGACAGATCTGAAATTTTGCAAAGCTGAGTACATACTACATAGCACCCCTTGGAATTTAGTGGGAGGGATTCCCAGCTATTTTTGTCTCTTTGTTCGAAGACCATAAGGCTGACTTACGGATAAATGACTTATAATTTGCATCCGAGGTTGAGGAGAAGGATGACTCCTAGTGGTATTAGTGGTACTCAGTGGTAGTGGTACGCAGTAATAGTGGTACTCAGTAAACACTCAGTGGTAATAGTGTTTACTGCGCTTGGCTATACTAACCCGAACGTACCACGCAGGATGGATCCCAGCCGTGGTAATCAGATTTGAGGGATGTGGAGTGCTAGTGCGCATGGCGAAAGAAAGGTGTAAGTTGTGGTGAAAGCCAGTGAGGCAATGAAGAAAGCAGCAGCAAGCAAACGAATAAGCGCGAGGCCCGAGTGTCAAGGAGGCCACACGCAAGCGCCGACCACGTAGCGGCCGAGAAATCGTGGTATAAAATGCTTGACCGTGCTGCAGAGCGTCAGTAACACTCTGTGCCTTCTACACCTCTGTGCACGCTCCGAGCGAACGACACGTTGTCTGCGGACTTGTGCGTGAACGTTTCCGTGCGGAAGAGCTTTACTCGCTCCCTCCAGTCACCATGCATTCGGCGGGCGCTCTCTTTGCTCGGGTAAGTGCGCAGTGCTCGAAAACAGTTGGTATACGACTGCAGTGGAGGAATGTATACACAGCTTACAATCGCTTTGGAGGCTGTCTTAAAATTCTCGGTTCTATACCTACTGATTGCAATGTGTTTTGAAAAAAAAAAGTGAGGCGTGGAAATATTACGGTGCTACTATGTAGTCTAGGTACTCCGGCTGTAGCACTTTCACCATGTTCAGCGATAGTTGGCACTTTTCACCCACGGCATGTGACTACAGCAAGGCCTTCTGCCTTTTTACCAACTGCAATTCCGTGACAGTACCAATGAAGAGCCTAAGAGATAAGCCAATAAGCACCATTGTTACTTAAGTTTTATGGCGTAGCGTCACTTTATGACATTTCCAAATCATTTAGAGCGACTCAAATAACAGGCTTCCATTCCCACTGTCATTCTGTTTTGAAGCTGTAGTTTCGCTATTCAAAATTTGCGTAATTTCAGTGCTTAGTTCGAAGACTTTGTATTTCCGCTTTCAAGCATTCACATGCCTACGACTGGCGTACCTGGCACCAAGTCTCAATTATGCATGTCTTCAATGATAGAATGCTCCAGAGCTCTAGTGGATGACAGAGAAGCGTAATGATTGCTTTCATTGTGACCCCGATTCGTTGGCAAACCAGTGCGGATAGCTTTCGCTTTGCCAATACTTACTATGTCACCGTAGTTAAGTGCGCCATTCAGAACAGTCTTGTTTACAATCTCAGAATTAATCAAATTTTGTGTACATCCCGGATAGTTGCTAATGATGACTGGTAACATACGTTTTGTTCGTATAAAAAGTGTGCATACTCGAATTATTTATCTTGTTTCATGTTGTCCTCATTGGCACTTACGTCTGCATCCACAGCTGTCACATCAGGTAATGCAGCCATCCTTCCCAATATCACTCGAGCCAGCCAGTCAAAACGCAAAGCTGCCTTTCGGTCTTTCTGGGTAGTCAGATACAAATATCCAGGTTTTTGTGAATGAAGCACCTGGAGTCATTATTTCGTACATGTTAACATTAAAAAAGTAGCGCCAACTGCCACAAATCAATTAAAATGTTAACATCAATTTTTTGGCTGGAACAACAATGCACAATTGCATGACAAACAAGAGAGGAGGCACGCGATTTTATCTGTGTGCGATCATGCTTCCATATGGGTTAGTTTAGGCTCACAAAAATGTGTTTAGCAGACCACATGTACTATCCCAATAAGATATCCCGAATGTCAACGGCAGAGCAAGATTGCTATCAAACAGAAGGCGATGCGTCATCTCTTATGGAAGCGCCTAGTAATCCTGGTTAAAAAATGCAGGACCCTTAAGCTCCGCCTGTAAGAGTTGAACGCGAAAGCGTATGACTGCATTATTTGTAATATGGAGCATGCCTCCAATCATGAGCAATTATACGCGTGAAATCTTCCAACTTGCTATGCACCCACTACGTAGGCTTAATGCAATAGAAGCAGTAACGTGCCTTTTGTAGTGAGCGGCTGACTTTAAACCATGAAGTCATTAAAATAATCACACGTTCTGACGTCCGATGGTAACGTACGCACGCTTGTACCACGCATCAGTTCTGCGATATTACATGTATTGTGAAGCATGTAAACAAAACACCGGTGTTTGTAAAGCCTTAATCTTACTCTCACTGATTTCCAAGCAGAGAAAGCTATTTCAACAATGATTTCGAGCAAGCGCGTAGCTGTGTGGTAGAACGCACGCGTGCTATGAAAACGACTTGCCTTCGATCCACAATAAAGACCGGGGCCTTTTTAATATTTGTTTTATTAGCTTCTTTCTTAAATTACCGGTCTCACACAAGGCAATTTTTAGATTACACCCAACGTAAACGACACTGATGCCAATAGCACACTTTCTCCGAAACAAGCTCTTTAACGCTATCACATTCATAGGCGCTAGGACACCTAATCATAAAACTTCTGAGATGTATGAAAACGCAAGGGACACCGTATAGCTTCATTTATGATGCTCTGGTAATGGCTGATAACAGTAATGGTTGATCATCTTGTCATGTCTCGTGTTTGGTTGGAGTACATTTGCTTGGATTATATTTTGCTGTTGTACATATGTATCTGCCTTAAGGTACATGCATGCGCTAGCGTTGCTTCAGCTGCACTAAGGTGAAGCATATATACGGTTTAACACCACATGCAGCAAATCACCTAATAGTTTAGTGTACTTTTTAGGGTAAAGTTTTTAGAAATGCTCCGTTGCTCGATTCATTTAGAAATCAACTGGTCAAACAAATGAAAATTTAGGTCGCAACAAGTATTGCATTTTTTTCTGCAGGCAATCGCACTATGTATGGTCTCTTTGGCTACAGCCGGTGGTCAGTTCGGATTTGGTGGATCTGGAGGCGGCATTGGAGGTGGACTTGGTGGTGGGTTTAGCACCGCGACTTTGGCACGTCAGGAGCAGTATGACGTGAGTACATTCTCATTCATTTGGGTGTGTAAAAGACCCGCCTCGTTAGTGTAGTGGCTGAGGTACTCGATCGGCTGTGGATCCGCAGGCCAGGGGGTCAAATTCCGGCAGTGGCGGCTGCATTGTCGATGAATGCGAAAATGCAAGCCCGTGTACTCCTATTTGGCTACACGCAAAAAAATCCCAGATGGTCGAAATTTCCGAAGCTCTCCACTACGACGCCTCTCATATTCATGTGGTAGTTTTGGGACCTTAAACCCCACATATCTATCCATCAATTAATGTGTAGTGAAAACTGTTGCCGAATGACGACATACAGGTTACATGGGAAGTTTAAAAAGCTGCTGATATACAACTCGCCAGAAACCATTGAGAAGGTGCCGTTAAGTCTGAAAGATGGTGCAAGAACAGAGTGCATGAAGGCAACTTTCTAAATCAGTAATTATATAACGTACAACGCTATAGTATTCTATCCTGAATGTGCTCCCTAATGCAGCCGCCACAAACGCACTGCTTTGGCTAAAATGCAGGATGGCCCCGCCGCGGTGGTCTAGTGGCTAAGGCACTCGGCTGCTGAACCGCAGGTCGCGGGTTTGATTCCCGGCTGCGGCGGCTGCATTTCCGATGGAGGCGGAAATGTTGTAGGCCCGTGTACTCAGATTTGGGTGCACGTTAAAGAACCCCAGGTGGTCAAAATTTCCGGAGCCCTCCACTACGGTGTCTCTCATAATCAAATGGTGGTTTTGAGACGTTAAACCCCACAAATCAATCAAAATGCAGGATGTACTAAACAGTATATAGTCGATGAGCAGCCGCCTCAGTTGTACAGTTCCAGCTACAATGCAGCATGTCGTACTAAAATAGTATCTTCAATGCAGCCACCGCAACCGTACAGTTTCGGCTACGACAACCAAGACCAGTACGGCACCAAGTCGTACCACAAAGAACAGGGTGACGCTTCTAACGCAAAAACCGGCACGTACGGGTATTCGGATGCCAACGGTATCTATCGCCAGGTGAAGTACGTCGCCGACGCTGGTGGATTCCGCGCAAGGATCGACACCAACGAGCCCGGAACTGCCCCTGGGGCCAGCGGTGATGCCCAGTACAACGCCAACCCTCTCCCAGCTGGCCGGCAGTACCGTGTCATCGGTGGCTCTTCGCCCTTCTCGGCTCCCTACACAAGCGCATCTACTAACAGCGGCTTCGGTTATGTTGGTTCCTGGGCTGGATAAGCCAATGCGTGATTTAGGGTAGACTTTATTGAAGAACTTCTGTGGCTATTCGCACTGTTCTTCAGTCAACTGAACAGCCAAGCACGCCACTGAAGAAGTTGACCCTTCGCACAGAAACTCGAGCTATCCCAAATGCAATAAACATTGGACAATTTGGCATATTGCCTCCATATTCCTTTGGTCTTTTTGCTTTGGCTAATAATCTGGCACATTGTGAATCACCAAGCAATAATGAGGAGAAACCTTAGCATTGCAAAACTCGCATTGATACACATCTTTATGTTATACAGCAACATAGTAAGGCAGAATTTAAAAAGACGTTTATCATAATTATTTTGGAGTCATGAGCTCTCTAACTGATATGTCATCTTTAGCTTATTACCAGAGCTTTTAATGGTCGGGAGCATTAAAACAGCTATAATATTTTAGTTTGAAGGTGCTAGCTGAAAATTCTTGTTTTACATTCAACAACCATTGATGAAAGAGCAGTTGTGTATAGCAGAAGAACACTAAAAACTCAAGGTTCCTAATTAGACCCTCTTAACTCAAAAAACCAGATAATTTGGATGTGCTTTTTGGTCTTGGTGAGCTTACGCGTAGTTCAGTGAGACCAAATACTTGTTAATTAAGTGATAGTTGGCAACAAAGCCTGTTGTTTCGGGCTGTAGCCGGAGGGCAGAAAGCAGGAAGTGACTCCAAACAGCGTTCGCGCAAACGGTGCTCGGTCATGGGTCTCTGAAGAAGCTCATACTTTACTCGGAAGCTCCAATTTGACTAGGGGAGCACACGCGATGTCATATTACTCACACTTTGTTGAAGCCTTTTAAGATACAGAGCTTCAGCCGCAATCCTCATGCTGGCATGATGCTCATTTTCTACATAGCTAATGAATAATCAGTCGCCCATCAATATTTCGACAAAAAAGTACTGACCAAGTGAGCGAGGTCTTGTTGGTGCTATGCAGTAAGCCGCATTCAGTGGTGGCATCATGTCATGTTTTGTTGTACAATTCGCAGCTTTACGAGGCCCCGTATCATCAGCGATAGTTTCGGCTTCAAAGAGCATGCCCGCTCGTAGTGGTTGTCAGGCGTCCTAGGATCTGGTTGAACGGAATGAGGTTGATGTGGATGGTCGCATTTCTTGGCTTTCACAAGTTTTTACGAATACGTAAATTCTATATCACTGCAATGAACTCTTCTTTTATTTGTATGTCTTTTTATTTCTTATTCTGTCGATTTTGAATAAGGCGAAGTGCGGGAAGTAGTTGACTTGAGTTCGTACCGCTTGCCTCCGTTCCTTCTTTCCACTCGCTCAACAAAATTGAAAGTTTTATCGCACTCAGTTATCTCGCTCGGTTGGCGTGCCAACTACGGGAAAGACAAAGACAGCATATTGTGGCGGGCAGAGAACGGAAGCCGCAGTGTGCTACGCTGAACAAGGCAACCATGAATTCGACGAAGATGGCTAAATTGGTCAACACAAGTTTTTCGTGGCTCTGCGTTGTGCTAACCAAGGCATTTCCAGTTCCGCAAACGTCTTTCTCGGGTTTTTTTTTTTCAGGTTTTCGGGTTACTCATCATTTGAGCGGGTATTGATTTTGCATGAGGATATGAGCCAGTTATCTGCAAGGCTGACTGTCCCTTTCATGACCTGCGATACAGTAGTGAAGCCGGTGGGCCTTCGATGACCTTCTCACATCCTGTCACTTTTGATGATCAGCAGATAGCACCACACACTTGAGTTTAACACATACTCGTAGTAAATTTGAAATCCTCCGAATACGTTGTTCTCATAAAAAACATGTGATGAGGCTCGCTAGGGATCAGTTCTTAATTTTAGTATTGTAGCGCTACACTTCAGGAGAACCGGACCGAAAAGAGCATGACAGGACGGATGATATGTCCTGTCAGCGTTGCTTCTGTCATTTTTTTGTCAGGTCTTCGGCGAATGTAGAGTGAGAGAGTGAATAACTTTATTCAGTTCCTTTAGACGATCGAGACCAGGGACTGCTTCGAACGAATACAGTTTATTGGAAGAAGTGAAGTCGGACGCGCTCGCTCCAGGCAGCAGTCTTCTTTCTTCTTCTTCCAGCGTTTGATGATGACATTTTATAGGCTCCCGCCCGGCCATGTTGAAATGTGATAAGCTCTGGCGGGCTATTTGAAACAACCTTCCATTGGGTATATGTGGTTCACCGATCTTCTTAGAAGCTCTTTTTTGCCTGTGCGAAGGAGACAAGCTCTTGTGATTCCGTCTCGCCCAGGTTAGAGCTTTTCGGTCCGGCACATTTTCCAAAATGTTCTTGGAGCCTTGTCCTCAACCAACACGATGTCACCCTGTGAGAGTGGTTTTGCTTGCCGTGTCTTGGCTTTGACCGTAGCTCCTATTTCCTTGATATATTCTTGATGCCATCTTTTCCACCAAGCGCGCACGAGTTTACATCTGCATCGCCATACGTCTTCAGTGTCACCGTTGTATAGTCTTCTTTGTCCGTCTTGAAGCTGTCGCCGTCCACCTATGATGTCTGCCAAAGTTAGTGGCATTGGCTCGTCAGGTTCTCCATATACGTAAGTCAATGGTCAATTGTTGAGTGTTCCTTCAACTTCTGCTGCAATAGTGCGTAGCTCCTCTACCGAAGCTGTGCTTTTCGATATTATTTTTCGCATCGACGTCTTCAAGCTTCTTATGAGGCGCTCGTAAAATCCTCCCCACCATGGCGCGCACTCGGCTATTGTTTTACATTTAATTTGTTGGCCACTGCAGTAATTCTTTAAGACCTCGTTGTTAATTGTTTCGAGCATTCTGTTGATTTCCTTTTCAGCTTTTATACATGTTTTGGCGTTGTCCGAGTATATTACGGCTGGTATTCCCCGTCGAGCCGTAAATCGTCGGAATGCTTGTAGAAAACTCGACGATGACAAATCGTTGGTAACTTCCAAGTGTACTCCTCTTGTTAGCGCGCAGGTGAATATCAGTACATATTGCTTCACAATCTGGTACTTGTCCTTTGCGTAAAGAGGTCCTGTTAAGTCAACTCCCGTAACTTTGAATGGCTCTGCTTCAGTGACTCTGTCTGCCGGAAGTGGAGGTATGTCTTGAGTTGCCGGTCTGGAGTTATGCCTCTTGCAGACGACACATTTGTTTAGAACTCTTTTCAATGCTTGTCTACCCTGCAATATCCAGAACTTAGTTCGAAGTTGCGCTAGCGTCACTTGAACTCCTCCGTGTGATACCAGTTTATGCACGTGACGTATTAGCAGTTCCGTGAAATGCTCAGCCTTTGGAATTAATATTACGTGCTTGATGAATTCTTGGCTGCACTGCAATCGTCCTTTCTGTCTGATGATTCCATCGTCATCAAGGTAGACTTCGTGCCCATTAATTTCGAATGATCGATCGTTTGAATAGGCCTCACCCTTTGTTTGTCTCAGTAATATTTGGGTCTGTCTTATCCAGTATTTCTCTGCATTTGTTACCACTTTTCCTGTCAACGGCCCTTTGTGATTTTCCTTTCTTGTGTTGTTTATGAATCTGAACACCCATGCTGTCACTCTTATAAGCCGTCCGTATGATGAACACCTTTGTATTTCCAAGATTGGCGCAATTTCGGATCTTCCTATGCACTGGTGACATTGTGTTTTATGCTGATCTTCCACGTTTGTATTTGTGCCAATTATGCTTACTAAGTTCTTTTACAGTGATGTTATCCATTCGGGACCATTCCACCATAACTTTGACGTTATCAATGCCTTTGCGCTTATTCCTTGTGTAAGTAGGTCAGCAGGGTTGTCGTCACTTTGAACGAATGACCAGCTTGCTTGAAGTGTTTTTTCTCTAATTTCTGCGATTTTGTTGGCAACAAACGGATCTCTTTTGCTTGTTCCCTTGATCCAGTGCAGCACAATCATCGAGTCCGTCCAGCAGTGTATTTCCTGAAAACTTTCGTTGAAGTGACCTTTGATGTAGTCGCATAATCTTGATGCTGCCACCGCTGCTATAAGTTCAAGTCGCGCCAATGTCAGCTCTTTAATTGGAGCTACGCGGCTTTTTGCTGTTACCAGCCTTGATTCTTTGCTTCCATCGTGGTACACTGCTATCAAGTATGCTGCCGCTCCGTATGCTAATGGGCTCGCGTCGGCAAATACATGCAGCTTGTATGCTTGTACTGGTTGATTCTTGCTTGCGTAGCATTGTGGGATTTTTAGAACTCGAAAGTACTTCGCTTCACACATAAGGTTCTTCCATTTGTCGCATTCATCTTTAGGGAGCTGGTCGTCCCACGTGACGTTCATTTTCCACAGTCTCTGCAGTCCTATTTTCGCGCGTACTGTGAATGGCGACAACAAACCGAGTGGGTCAAATATCTTCGCTGTGGTTTGGAACACAGCCCTTTTTGTCAAGTGCATTGTATCTGTTAATAAATTCCACTTTTCAATAGGGAAGCAAATCATGTCCTTTGAGTGTTTCCATATCAAGCCCAGAAGCATTGTAAATCCTCTGGATCGAATATCTATGTGAGAATCGTCTCTTTTGTTTTCATCAATTATTTTGTTTAATCGCTCTTCATTGGATGTCCATTTTCTCAAATTCATCGCTGCCTCTCTAAACACTTGCTTTGCCTCTTTGTACAACTTAACTGCTTCATCAAGCGTTGCTGCTCCCAAAATGACATCATCCACGTAGATCGCTTTCTGCAGTGTCCTTGTCGTATCAGAAAACTGGTCTTCCACTTGTTTCAAATGGTGTTTAATTGTAGCTGCCAGTATAAACGTGCTTGGTGTTGTTCCGAACGTTACTCTTGTCATGCGCCATGTTTGCACTTCATTCATTAACCTTCCTTCAGCGTCATGCTTCCACCACAGAAATCTCAATGCACCTCTATCCTCTTCATGTATAGATATTTGTAGAAATGCTTTTTCAACATCTCCAACTAACGCCACCTTTTCTTTTCGGAAATTAATGAGCAGCGATAGCATGTCCTCATTCAAATTGGGTCCTGCCTCTAGGTTCTCGTTTAGAGACATGCCTTTTCTAGAATGTGATGAGGCGTCAAACACTACTCGAATTTTTGTTGTGGCTCTGTCCTCTCTAATGATCGCATGATGTGGCATGTAGTAG